TATAAATCATTCTATTATAAAGACACATGCACACATATGTTCATTGCGACACTGTTTACAGTAGCAAAGACCGGGAACCAACCCAAATGCCCATTAAAGATAGACTGGATAAAGAAAATGTGGCACATATACATCATGGAATACTATGCAGCCATAACAAAGGAAGAGCTTATGTCTTTTGCAGGAAGATGGATAAAGCTGGAAACTATCATTCTCAGCAAACTAACACAGGAACAGAAAACCAAACACTGCATGTTCTCACTTATAAGTGGGAGTAGGACAATGAGGACACATGGACACAGGTAGGGGAACATCACACACGGGGACCTGTCAGGGAGTGGGAGGCTAGGGGAGGGATAGCATTAGGAGAAATACCTAATGTAGTTGATGGGTGCAGCAAACTACCATGACCTATGTAACAAACCTGCACGTTCTGCACATGTGTCCTAGAACTTTAAGTACAATAATAAAAAAACACTGAATATACACTAAAAAAAAAAAAAACCGCACATTTCAAGCTCCAATTTTTTCTGTAGTACTTTATTAAGATTTTCGTAATTAATATAATTTTATGTTACATGTATTATTCATGTGGTTATATGTAATATGTTATTAACCATTAGATAAAGTAAAATAGGAGTGGAACTTTTCTTAGTTGAAGGAGGTCCCCTATGTAAAGTTTATTCTCTGTAGGTTTATTGCCGAGTTAGAAATGAGGAAACTGAGGCCAGCACAAGAAAATTAGATGCCAATTTATTCAGCTCCCGGGAGAGGTTCTGTGGTCCGGGGGAGAGGGGCCAGGGACGTCACACCTGATTCCTCTCAGGAGTGGGGTTTTATAGGGAGTGAAGGCGTTTGATTGGATTTGGAGAAACAGGATGTGGACGGGGTGAGCTGCTATTGGTAGGTAGGTGGGATTTCCGGTGAGCAGGCTAAGTGCTGAGTGCAGAGGGGATTTCCAAGGGTGGGGTTAGGTGCCGGGTGCAGAGGGGATTTCCAAGGCGGAGCTAGATGATGGGCATATTCTGATAATGTAATTTTCAAGCAGGGAGGGAGATGGGCGTGTTCGAACTCCCGGCGAGGCAACCAGCCTTACACCATACCCTCTGACATCACAGCCAACTAAGAGTGGCATTTAGGAGAAAAAAGAGAAAGAAACAGATGTTGGCTTCACGGTAGGTTTTGGGAAGATGCTCCATATTTCCTTTGGTTCCTGTTCCTTTGTCCCTTTCCTTCATCTGTACTATCAAAGATTAGCACTAGGCTAGTGGCTTTGTCTGTAATCTCAGTACTTCAGGAGGCCAAGGCAATAACAGGACTCCATTTCTACAAAAAATAAAAATAAAAAAATTAGCAAGATATAGTGGCTCAGTCCTGAGGCAAGAGGATTGCTTGAGCTCAGGAGTTCAAGGCTGCAGTGAGCCATGAGGTTACCACTTTACTCTGGCCTGGGCAACGATCAGGGTGAGACCCCATCTCTAAAAAAAAAAACCAAACAAAAAAGACAAAATAAGTATGACGTTTCAAAGGAAAATAAGTCATGTGACTTAGAAATTAATAGTAGGGACAAAAGGAGTCTTGTAGCTCCCATGTAAGAAATTTAATCAAGCTTTTGGAATCACAAATCTGTTATCAGCTCTAACCATTTCTGTACCATGTTAGATATTTTTGTGCCAATGTCTAAGTCATAAAAATGCCTCTTCTTTTCTTTCTTGTTTTCTTTATGCATTTCAAAGCTATGCTATTTGGCCCAGTTCATGGCTCATATCTTTACTGCGTATTGAATATGTTATCAAAATTAAGTGACACTGCCAAAATAGAAGAATAATTAAAAATTTACATACAGAGATAATTTGCAGACTCTCATTCCCATCAATTTACCAAATTTAGATTATATTATCTGTTTCTCCTACAAAGGAATAATATTAGCAGACCCTGATTTTTGCAATAATGAGTGGAAATTCCATATATATTTCTGTGAATATATAGAACATTTTTGAGTATTTTACATGTTTATTAATAATTTGAAGTATTTATTATATGAACTGTGTAGTTATGATTTTAGTAATTCTATGTAGTCTCTATTTTCTTATCATTGATATTTAGTGATGGCTTACCATTGTGAAATAGCAACCCCTGGTCTGCTCTGTGGGTTATAAAAGCAGCCTCCTCTCCAGTCACTTGTCTTTCAAGTTTTTTTTTTGTTTTTTTTTTTTTTTGAGACGGAGTTTCGCTCTTGTTGCCCAGGCTGGAGTGCAATGGCGCGATCTCGGCTCCTGGGTTCAGACAATTCTCCTGCCTCAGCCTCCTGAGTAGCTGGGACTACAGGCATGTGCCACCATGCCCAGCTGATTTTTTGTATTTTTGCTAGAGATGGGGTTTCACCATGTTGACCAGGATGGTCTTGATCTCTTGACCTCATGATCCGCCCGCCTCGGCCTCCCAAAGTGCTGGGATTACAGGCGTGAGCCACCACGCCCGGCCTCAAGTTTTTATTACTTGTAGATATTTCCCAGTGTATTATAATTGGCTCACGCCTAATTCAAAGGAATTGTTTTGTTTAACTCTACTTAAGTCTTTCCAAATTATTAAGCTTACACAGAAATAAATCTCTGCACTTACATTTAGTTCTTCTGTGAAATAGATTACCTACATAACCAAAAAGTTTTTTGTGAACTGGTTTGGTAACACATTTAAGTGAATTTGTTGTAAAAGTGCTATCAAATTGATAGAAGTTTAAAGGTATTGGGGTACTAAAGCGATCCTGGGGCGCAAGATATTTGAGTGTGCTGATTACATACCTATATTCTTATTCCTAACTGGGTGTTCAATAGTTGCAATCCAATTTCTTCAGCAGGTAATTATTTTCACAGAGATTTTGAACGTCACCATTTTCATATATTAAGTTCTTAACACATCTGTTTCAGAATCTCTGTTCTCTCCTAGGGATTTGTCTGTTCACATTCCACATTGCCAGGCCCTTGTGCTACAAGGAAGGAGGTTTCGTTTGCTTCTGTTCACAGGGGAATCACTGTTCCTGAGCTACTGCAATCCTGGTACACAGTAAGGAGTCCTTGCCCTCTTACTAAATGTGTCTGTACATTCCAGATAAATATTCTTTTCCATAATGTCATTGATCAACCACATTACTCTGAGATAGTGCTATGAATTACCAGGTAAGCAATCTCTCTATTCCATTTCTGACCCAACCTCACATCCTGTCTTCTCAAACCTCACACAGTCCCCCCTGATACTCATGAGTCACATAAAAATCCCCACAAACCTTCACTTCTACAACTGTTTCCATCACCTGCCTGCCCTTCTTCGTCTTGCCTGTGCCCTGCCCCTCAGCAAAGCCACTTTTTCTTGTCCTCCAAGACCTTCATGACTTGGACAATAGTGTAGACACCGTTCTTATTCGCATTTACTCCCTATCCTTTCTTAAAAGAAAATCTAAAGACAAAGTAAAATTCCTCCAGCAGTCTTACTGCCTGCTTCAGTTCACAACCTGGTATTCCTAGTGGCTTCTACATTCCCTGCCTCCAAGCCCACTGATACAGTTTGGATGTGTGTCCCCTCCAAATCTCATGTTGAAATGTAACTATTGATGTTGGAGTTGGGCTTGGTGGGAGGTGTTGGATCCCAAGGTGGAGTTCTCATGAATGGCTTGGGGCCATCCCCTTGGTGATACATATTAGCTGGTCATTTATAAAGACTCTGGGACTTCCCTGCTCTCTCCTTGCTTGATACCTCTCTCCATGTGAGGTGCCTGCTTACCCTTGGCCTTCCGCCATGACTGGAAGCTTCCAAAGTCCGCCCCAGAAGCCAGTGCCAGCACTACACTTCCTGCATAGCTTGCAGAACAAAAATTAAACTCTTTTCTTTCTAAATTACCCAGTCTCAGATCATCCTTCATGCCAATGCAGGTAGACTAACACACCCTCCCTTCCTTCCATCTCCCATGCAGTTCAGGCTTCCCACTTGCAACACTCTAAAACAATTTCTCTTTTGAAATGAGGCAAGGAATATCTCTTCTCAAAGGCAGCCACCGTGGTAGATAAATTCCACGCTCTGGAATCCTCAGTGTCCCTGCTGCTCCTGGATTTTCTTCTACCTCATGGCTCTTGGTTTTGAGGGTTCTTCTTGATCCACTCTCAAGTTTAAAAATGTTGGCGTACTGTAGCCTTCACCCTTGCAATTCTGTCTATATTTTCTGTGTAAGTGATCTCATGTAGCCCGCGGCATTAAGGACCATTTCGGTATTATAAGGAATTTATATGTTCATGACTCCCAAACATATTTCTCCAGCCTCAAACCCTCCGGTGAGTTCCAGGATTATGTTTTCAATAGCACCGTTCACAGGACCAGCAGCACAGCAATTGCGTTAGTAGCTGTAGCAAACACACCCTGAACAAAACTCCTGATTCTTCAGGTAGTTTCTCCTCTTGGTAGTGCCCATCCTGATAAATGACACTATCATCATCCAGTTTCTTGAGCCCATATGCTCAAACTATTGGATCCTTCCCCCTTCCCAGTGCTGTCACCTAGGGCACTAGCAGGTCCCACACTATCTTTTAGGTCAACCCCAAACTTGCCTGTACCCTTCCAGATGCACCACTTGCCTCTCAGACCAAACCATCCTCATGGCTTGCTTGAAATAGTGTACTGATCTCCGGTGCTTTCTGTTTCCATGGTTGTAGCCAAAATCGTGTTTTTAAAAATATCAAAGAGATCATAAGACTGTCCTCTGCTTAACACTCCTGGTTTTAGAATAAACGCTGTTCTCTGGTCCCAATGTCTAGCAGTATTCATCACAGTCTATTTTGTAACCTCGTATCTTCTCTCACCAGTCTCCAGTTCTACTGGGCTTATATTTGGACTTCAGTTAAATGGAAATTATCCCCCATATCCTTGCCCTTGCCTGGAACACACTTTTCCCTTTGTTTTGGAGTAAAAAGCTCTTTTGTTATTATTATAAATATGTAGATTTTGTGCAGAGAAATGTTTTTAATAAGATCAAATATTTAACCATACAACCTGGGCAATCTAACAATCCAAAGTGGAAGGCATGGAGAAAAAAGCAAGCCTTCCTGAAATGCCTCTTTTCAGAGGAAGGGCATGAAGAAGGGCAAGGCGGAGAGGACCAGCAGGGCAAAGCTGAAATCAGCAGCTGCTGGGGTGGCAGGGAGCGCGAAGGCAAGATTGTGGGCATGCAGGCGGGGCCGGGGCGGGATTCTTGATAACGCGGGGTCAGCGTCCCATGTTGGGGGACAGCAAGGATGAGCAGGTGGAAGTAGATACGGGGACTTGAGTCTCAGAAGGTGGGGGGGGCAGGGCCGAGATTCTCAGGGGCCGAAGGGGCCGGCGGACTGGGCGTCCTGGAGGGCGACGGAGACCGAGGCGCAGCTGCCGCAGGCCGGCGGCCTGGCCTCCCAGAGCGCCCACACCGCGGACGGGGCGGGCTGCACCAGCACCAAAGGCCGCGCGTCGTCGAAGACACCGAGGCTCCAGGAGCCGAGGCTGGGCTTCAGAGGCCCTGGCCTGGGCACGAAGGACGCAACCGCTCCGTTTTTGGTCAGCGGCTTGAAGGCGGAGGGCCGGGGCTGCGGGTTCCGCCTGCCGCCCTTGCTGCCTGGGGCCTGCACCCCCAGCGGCCCGCCCATCGTGGCGCTCCCCCTGCGGCCCGGGCCGAGCGCCGTCAGCTGGGTCTCCGGGGTGCAGGGGTCGGCGGGCTCCTGGGCGGCGGGGTGGCCTGCGGGGTGGGCTTGCATTCCTGGGGACCCCCAGGGGCTCTCGGGGTGCTCGGGAGGGGCGGTCCTGATGGTCACCGGGCTCCAGGTGCCTCCTGGGTTCGCGGCTCGCCACGGCCCCCGCTTCGTGCAGTCCTCCCCGGCGCAGGCGGGGTCTCGCCGCGGGGCAGTGTCCCCGGGCCGGGCCGGGCGGCTGCAGGCCTCGGGGATCCCCCGCTGGGGCTTGGCGGGGTCCCGGCGGGGCCGCAGCTCGGGGAGGCGGGTGCTGGGTGCCGGCCGCCCCCACTGGACGTACTGAACGGGGCCCGGAGTCCGGGACGGCGGTGGCCGCGGGCTCCGGCGACCCCGGGGGCAGGGCGCGGGCGGGGGCCTGCCGGGGGAGCTGCTCATGGGGGCCGCCGGGGCGGGCCTTGCCGCGGGGTTCGCCCTCCGGACGCTCCCGAGGTCTGCGGACTCGGCCGGAGCTGCAGCGCCCGCGGCTGGGGACCGTTGGCCTCTGGGCGCCTGGAAGACACGTGGGGCGCGGGGGCGGGACCCTCCACTCGGGCGCCGCGTGCGGGCCGCGAGCCCGGACACCCAGCCTGCAGGGGGACAGGAGGCCCCAGCCTCGCTCCCTCCGATACCAGCAAGTTTGTCTCTAGAGAGAGGGGCCTAGGAGCTACCAAGGTCTCATCGCCCTCCTCCTCTGCCCTCCCCCCTTCTCCCCCTCCCCCCGCTCCCCCCTACTCCCCCCTACTCCCTCTCCGCCCTTCTCCCCCTCCCCCTGCTCCCCCTCCCCTCTGCTTCCCCTCCCCTCTGCTTCCCCTTTCCCTGCTCCCCCTCCCCCTGCTCCCCCTGCCCCTGCTCCCCCTGCCCCTGCTCCCCCTCCCCCTGCTCCCCCTCCCCCTGCTCCCCCTCCCCCTGCTCCCCCTCCCCCCTGCTCCCCCTCCACCTCTCCCTCTTGTGATGTCCTTCATATATCAAATAATTCACCAACTTGAAGTGCAGAATTCAATGGGTTTTATAGCACAACCATCCATGCGTGCCCATCACCGTAGCAAATCAGAAAAAATTTTCATCGCCTCAGGAAGAAGCCCGTACCTTGTAGCTGTCACCTTCCTATCCACCTGTTCTCTCAGCCGCGACAACCAGGAATCCACTTTCTGTTTCTGTAGACTTCCCTCCTGTGGGCTCTCCTGTGGCATCACTTAGCATGACGATTTCCAGATTCTTCCTTGCTGGGACCTGTACATCCTTCCTTTTCATGTCCAATAAACGATTCCATTGTATGGATATGCTACACTGGTTTAGCCTTTCATCAGCTGATGGACGTTTGTGTTGTTTGCACGTTTGGGCTTTTGTCATAGACATTGGTGGACAAGATTTTGTGCAGACCAATATTTCCATGTCTATGTAGTTGGGAGTAGAATTGCTGGGTCTGTGGTTAGTCTATGTTTAACTTCTTGAAGAACCACCAGACTGTTCTTCGCCTCTATACCGTGTTGCGTCCTCACTAGCAATGTTGCTCTATTTTATACCTGACATTTAGAAAGATAATGTATAATAACACCTGCAGAAAACTGCAGATAGTCTATTGACAGAAGGGCATTCTCTTTCATTATCATAAAAACGAACATAACTCACTGAAATGCTTTCAAGAAAAACGACTGGTTTTGTTTTAGTAAATAAGATACATGTTTTATTCTTCTAGAATGGCTATTAATGCCACATCTTGCAATTTACCTTTTAAGGAAATGGTGATTGTACACCACAGCTTATGTTTGAGAACTGACAATGATTATTTTGTGTAGACTCCTATAATTTTAAACTTTTATACATTCATATATAGATTTTCTTCCCTTCAGACATTAATGCAGTTTTTTCCATTTTTAATATCTGTGTATATAGGAGAATGATTCACTTTTGTAGCTACCAGGTGAAAAGATCTGCCTACAAAAACATTATTTGAAGGCTACTGGGCAGTTGATTACAGCGATCACATTTGGAGGTCTGTTCAAGGTTGTGTAAGACAAGCTGCTCTGGAAAGCCTCTCAACAGCGTTGCAGAAGGCAACACCTCAGTGGTTCCAATCATAGGAGCAAAAAGTAGCCACTGACAAAATTCCAAAGCCAATAATCCACAACAGGTTTTCTTTTGGGATTTGAGAGACAAGCAAGTGAATGATGAGTACACTAAAAAAAATGCTTAATGAGGCCAGGCGCGGTGGCTCACGCCTGTAATCCCAGCACTTTGGGAAGCCAAGGCAGGCGGATCATGAGGTCAAGAGATCAAGACCATCCTGGCCAACATGGTGAAACCCTGTCTCTACTAAAAAAATACCAAAACTAGCTGGGTGTGGTAGCACGAGCCTGTAGTCCCAGCTACTCGGGAGGCTGAGGCAGGAAAATTGTTTGAACCCAGGAGACGGAGGTTGTAGTGAGCCGAGACCGCACCACTGCACTCCAGCCTGGCGCCTGGCGACAGAACAAGACTCTGTCAAAAAAAAAAAAAAAAAAAAAAAAGCTTAATGAGAAATCTCTACTAAGGTTTTGTAGTTCAGAAAGGGGCTGATAATCAGGGAAGGAAGGCGCTGTCAGCCAAGAGGAGCAGCAGGGAGAGAGCCCCAGGACTTTCCATTCACTGGCTCATTCATTTTCATTCTTCCAGATTCCTTAAGTAAGAATCCTCCAGTATAAGATTTTGAAAACAAATTCACTATGCTGTAACTTTCTCCTTAATAAGACATTTCTTGATAAGGATGACAATAAAGTTTATAGCTAAAAAGCCTCTTTAGATGGTATTATCATTGGAGTGGACAGTTAATGCAGTGGGGGTCTAGATTTTTTAAAATGTATGTTTTCTTAATGTCTACACCGTTCTCCATGTCTTATTTGAAGTACAACCCAATGGGAGTCATTTTGGTTTGCTTTTGGTTAAAGACCCTTCAAAATCTCACAGTCTCCCTGCTGGTGAAGTGCGGGCAGCCATAAGTTAGTAGTCAAGTCTAATTATACCTTCCCAGGCAAAGGTGAATAGCTATTTCACAGACATTCAACATGTCTGTTTCTTTTCCTTTTCACACGCTAAGAGACAACTGCTTTCTTTTGGTTAGGTAATATTAGAGATTGAGGTAGAACAGTAGTTTTCAGTTAGAGACGACTTTGCTGTACCTGTACCCTCTCACCCCCCCCACCCATCTGAGGCCATTAGAGAGGGTCTGAAGCTGAGGCTGCGCAGGCACTTGGGTGCACTGCTGGCGTCTAATGAGTGGAAGCCTGAGGCCCTGCTAAATGGCCTACTGTGCTGAAAACACACTCCCACAACACAGAGTGACTGGCCCAAAAAACATGAGCATGCAGAGATTGAGAAACACCTCTTCATACCCTTCTGCTAAAGTTATTAAATTACATAACAACTGAGTTATGTTTATCAAAGCTAATGCATTAACATTAGCTTCCATCTGTTAAGTAAACTCCAGTCTGTATTTGGATTTCACTGGTTTTTATTTTTCTTTCTTTCTTACTTTTTTTTTTTTTTATATTTTTTGAGACAGAGTGTGTCTCTGTCACCAGGCTGGAGTGCAATGGCACCATCTCGGCTCACCGAAACCTCCACCTCCCACGTTCAAGCCATCTCTTGCATCTGACTCCCGAGTGGCTGGGACTACAGGTGCACTCCACTACACCCAGCTAATTTTTGTATTTTTAGTAGAGATGGGAGTTTCACCTTGTTGGCCAGGATGGTCTCAATCTCCTGAACTCATGATGTACCCATGGTGACCTTCCAAAGTGCTGGGATTATAGGCATGAGCCACCACGCCTGGCCTGGTTTTTGGTTTTTCTTTGAACTCACTTTTCTTTTCTAAGAACTAATCGTCTTCAGTCTCTTCTAATCTGTGAGACTTGCTCAGTCTTTTCATATGTCCCATGATCTTGATACTTTTGAACAATACTGAACAAGTATTTTCTAGAAATGCTCAGTTTTTAAAAACTTATTTTTAGCACTCTAATTATTTATTGTTTACCTGTCAGCCAAATTATCCATTCAGATAGTTTAAAATGCTAAATCACTATAAATTCTTATTGAAAAGACAGCACATCTCTGCCATTTATCCTATTTTATTACCCAGAAAAATCTGGCTTCATGGTTTTCCATGTTTTTAAGCTGATTTTCTTTCCCTGAGCACTGCTGCCTATGCATTAGCTCTTTCTGTCCTCTGTGGGTCTGTTTTGCCTGAGCTCTGAGGTCTTTACATTTTCTCATGTTTGTAGAGCTGATAGCTTCATTATGTTCAATAACTTCGTGCTACATTTTGATCATAATTTTCTTTCCTTCGGACACATTTTTTACTCAGCACTGTTTTTGATAAACATTTAAAAAACAACTTTATTGAGACATAATTCTTATGCCAGACAATTTACTCATTTAAAGTGCACAATTCAGTCCCTTTTAGTATATTCACATATATGGTCAGCCATCAGCCAGGTAAATCGCAGTACCTCTTCATTTCAAAAAGAAACCCTGAGCCCTGTGGCTATCACACAGTACCTCTCCACCCCATTCCCAGCCCCAGGAATCACTAATCTACTTCCTGTCTCCGGATTTCTGTATTGTGCACTTTTATATAAATGGAATTATATAACATGCATTATGTTGTGACTGGCTTCTTTCGTTTAATACGGTAATTTTAAGGTTATCTGTATTGTAGCAGGTACTTCATTCCTTTTAATGTGCAAAATATGTTTCAATTCATGTTTATACCATATTTTGTTTATTCTTTTGTCCACTGATGGATATTTGGTCTATTATGAATAATGACATTCTAAATATTCATGTATGAAATTTTTTGTAGATAAATATTTTATGTTTGAATTATACACAGTAGTAAAACTTCTGAGTCATTTGATAACTATACTTAATCATTTAAGAAACTGCCAGACCTTTTCCCATACTGGGCATATGATTTTACATTCCCACCAACATGTATGAGAGTTCTGATTTCTCCACATTCTCACCAATGCTGATTATTATCTGACTCTAGGATTCTAGCAATTCTAGTTTGTGTGAAGTGGTATCTCATTGTGGTTTTGATTTGCATTTTGCTAATGGCTAATGGGGTGGAACATATTTTCATGTGTTTATCGGATATTGGTATCCCTTCCTTGGAGAAATGTCTAGTCAGATTTTTTATTCATTTTTTAATGGGGTTATTTGTATTTTTATTGAGATTTAAATGTTCATTAAATATTCTGCTTACAAGTTTCTTATGAGATACATGAGATTGCAAATACTCTCTCCTGTTCTGCGGATTGTCTTATTTTCTTTAAAGTAAAATATTTTTTTATATTTTGATAAAATCCAATTTAAAATTTTTGGTCATGAGATAGACAGATAGACAGATAGATAATGACTTACTTGGGACGGCTTACCTTGGAAGCTATGAAATCAGTTCTAGGTAAGCAGTACAGATACTGAGATTTTTCTGAGCTCATTTATGATATTTATCAAAATGAAAGAAAAAGTATGTTTGCCTGAGAACCAAAGCAGGCGTACATTATGACTATGACTTGTGGGTTCCTTAAAAATGTAATAAAATTATGTTTATGAGTGTGCTAATGTGTGTGTGCATGTGGTGTGTGTGTGTGTGTGTGTGTCCCCACTTCGTCCTCATAGGCCATTCGCTGTTTAGACAATAAACTTCAGAAATCTGCATCTATCCCAACTCCTCTCTTTATTTTAAGGGGTCTGGGAGGAATATTTCAACTGGTTCTGCAGCGAGGAATAAAGATGCTTATTGTTCTAAAGTTTGTCATAGAATACCCCATGACTCTTTATTTGTTCACTCTGATATTTTTCTGGATTTTATTTTGATGTTGACTCCTGTGCATTTTCCTGTATGCACATTCATGAGTGCACATTGGTAAGGATTCATCCTCTTCTTTTTCTCTCATCTGGGAATTCCATAAAGTATCTGATCCACTGATGATCCCACGTCATTTTCCAATACTGCTATCAATATACTATTTCCTTAAATTTCTCACATTCCATTTTAAGAATATTATAGTCAATATGGAGTTCAGTTTATGTTTCCTTTAAAAATATTTTAGCTTCTATATTGTAATTGGTTACAGTATTACAATAATTTTATAGACCAGTAATTCTCAAACTTACAATACGTGACACCACAGTCACCTGGAAGAATTTCTGAACAGACCATTCAGACCCAGGCCTATGAGGTCTGGGTAGGTCCCAACAACCTTCATTTCTAATATCTTACCAGGTAATGCCATGGTGCCTACGTAGGGACCAAACCTGGAGAACCGCTGCTGTAGCTTTCATTGTCTGTCTTCTGGTTACGATCTGAAATTTGTGGGAATCGAATGAATTTAAGTTACATCTTAAAGGAACAGAATATAATTTGACATCTAAGTTATACTTGGTGTTGTTTCTGTTATTTGGAAAAAAAGTTAAGATTTTTGAGCACCATTTCACAACATTTCATGTTCGCTTAAATCAACTGGAGGTGTTAGGATGTCAATATTGATTCAGTAGGTCGGACATGTGGCCCCAAATTCTCCATTTCTAACAGCTCAAAAGGTGATGAAGTACCAGTAATTTTTTTTCAGGATTTTCAATTACTTTTATTTATTTTATTTTATTTTTTTCCCATTTATTTATTTTATTGCATTTTAGGTTTTGGGGTACATGTGAAGAACATGCAAAATTGTTGCATAGGAACACACATGGCAGTGTGATTTGCTGCCTTCCTCCCCATCACCTACATCTGGCATTTCTCCCCTTGCTATCTCTCCCCAGCTTCTCACCCCCCACCCTCCCTCCCCTATTTCCCCCCAACTGACCCCAGTGTGTAGTGCTCCCCTCCCTGTGTCCATGTGTTCTCATTGTTCAACACCCGCCTATGAGTGAGAACATGTGGTGTTTGATCTTCTGCTCTTCTGTCAGTTTGCTGAGAATGATGGTTTCCAGGTTCATCCATGTCCCTACAAAGGACCCAAACTCATCGTTTTTGATGGCTGCATAATATTCCATGGTGTATATGTGCCACATTTTCCCTATCCAGTCTATCGTTGATGGGCATTTGGGTTGGTTCCAGGTCTTTGCTATTGTAAACAGTGCTGCAATGAACATTCGTGTGCACGTGTCTTTATAGTAGAACGATTTGTAATCCTTTGGATATATACCCAGTAATGGGATTGCTGGGTCAAAAGTACCAGTAATTTTGATCATAACCTGGGTGCATGTTAGAAATGCAGGACCTCAGGCACCATCCCAGACTAATTAAATCAGCTGCTGCATTTTACTAAGATACACAGGTGGTTCATATGCATTTTAAAGTTTGGGGTGCACAGGTCTAGAAATAAAATTGCACATTAGAATGACGTGCAAACACCCATGCCTTGCTTTTCTGATTTAAATAGTCTGTAGAGCTCTCCAGCAGATGTGATTGTCAGCCCGGTAGAGAGGCACTGGGCTAACTGGGCTGGCGTGTGCACAGGGCCTTCTGCAGACTCTGTCATGCCATTTAACCAGCATTGGTGAGTCCATATACCCAGCGTGCAATTGCTTCCTTCCATTCTCCCCTATGCTCCCCTCTTCCTAAGACTCGATTCTTGGAGAATTGTGCTTCTTTTGAAAAAGACCCCACCTTTGATCAAGAAAATGACATTGATCTGCTCTTCTACTATATAAGGTGAATAAATTTCAAAAATGTAATAAGACCCAAAGTGAGGCTCCTATTACCAGACCATAAAGCCAGCACTGAACACAGTAGGTGGCGTATGTGTTGCCAGTTAAATGCTTATTGACAGAATATTTCCTGCAGTGTGGAATGATTCAACTTTCACTCTTCATTCATAAACTGTGCTTCTGTAAGAAAATTTAAAAAGACTTGTGCTTCTGGTGAGTGTTCTAGAGAATAATTTCATGTCATTGCATTCTTTCTAGATTGAGCTCCTATCATGCATTCAATATTTTGCTACACACACACACACACACACACACGAGACAAAATGTGTGGTTGCTGCAGTCCTGTTCAGATATAATTCTATAATCAAAATTTTCAGGCCATAGAATGAAAATAGAGGTGACATTTTATGCTGCACTATTTCCTCCCAAAAATGAAAGTTTTAAGGGCAAAGATTATGTCTCTTGAGTGCTGCTGTATACAGTATCTTTCCTGCCATGGATGCTCCACACTTGTTAAATGAGAAATTCACCCCAAGGTTCTGTAAGTGAGAATTTTGATCAGCTCACTGAAAATGAATACAGATGACAGAGTCGATAGCTGTGACAGGCCCTGCCTGGAAAGCAAGGATCCACACGCACAGCTGACTGAGCTGCAGCTAGTTATGTTCTTGTAACTATCCCGGATCCGTAATTCAACGTCTCACAGCTTGCATAAGATTTATCAGACAGAAAACAGTAATTACAAAGACATAATGAAAGAGTGATTTCCAGGGAAAGCTCTTTGGCGTACTAGACGGCACAGTAGGAAACGTATTTTTGTAGTTTTTAAGAAGGAGGAACGCCACAGGTAATGGCATGACGGTGTGTTCTCTTTGGCAGATGGATCTTCTTTTCTTAGGACATTTCAGGTAGTCTTGGGTTCAAATGAAATTGGAATAAAATACATGTTATTCTAACATGTATTAAAAATAATGAAAATAGAGAAAGATCAACCTTCACAAAGCAAGCATGTTTCTTATTTTGGCTTTTAATAAACATCCTCGTGAATGGCTCATTTGATTTGAAAACAATCCTCTCCTTCAGGACCCAGCATGGTGTCTGCCTGGACCACATCTAATTATTACATCAGTAAAGTCACTCTCTACAGAAAAGATCATGGAAATTAACAGATTAGATCATGTAAAAACTTGAAGGTTCAGTAATCTGGGCCAGGCTGTGTTTTGTCATGATCAGGTTAATGTTGACAAAGACAAGCAACGGAATAAAGATAGGCAAAACTTTCTGGGTTTATGGTTATGTCTAAATGTAACTAAATAGGTGACTGAACATGGAGGTGTTGGCTATGATGATTCAGTTTACTACAGGTCATCTTGAATGCCAACATCCTTAATATTGTATTCTTTGCAGAAAAAAATTTATTCAGCAATTTCAGGTCAGTGCTATTTGCTAGGAAACTGATCAAGCTTTGTTGACCAGAACAAATCCATTTGGAAAAAGAATTCCATTTAACACATAAATTCATACAATCAGTTTTCTTTTTCATGCTCAATTGGAATACTAGTTTGATTAGCATACTAGTTTGATTAGGGGATAAATTATTTGAATCATGTTTTCAGGTTAACTTTTGTTTTATTTTTTCAATGAAGAGAGCAATATGTTTGTATATTTATGTAAAAAAGAGAGGCATTTTATACATTTTGGAAGATACGTAGTGAAAGTGCCTGACTCCCGATTCTAAATAAAAGTGATAAAATATAGCTATAACTTAGAATTATAATATTCATAAAATTTATTTGACTTTGCATTATTACTGGAAAGTACATTCATTAAAAAAATTATAGTGAGTTTCAACCAAACTCTTACAGTATGTTTTGAATGAACTAAAATGTATCATACAAGACATATATTTTATGGAAATCTACCAAGAAGTATACATTGATATATTCTAAACAGTAATTTGTTGATTAATCACATTTTAAAATTAAACTTTTAAAAATTGATTTCTTTTGTTCTAAAAATAATTACCTCAAAAATTATTGAGCACACTGAATGAAATTTTGATCTCTGAACACGGTACTTTAGGCCATACTTAATGCTGATATGCTCCTGCTGAATCATCTTTACATGCTTCTGAAGAAGAAGATTGATCCTTGGATTTCTTAAATTAATTCATTGGATTATTAATACTGTAACAGAAATATTTGCTTGTTAATTATAAGTAAATATCAACTCGTTGTTTTTCTTTCTTGAATTATCCTTGAGCGTTTCCTCCATTATACTATCCTTAGTCAACCTCAAAATGGACTCAGAAACCTTGAGAATTTGGTGTCAAAAGTACCCTAGCACAGTAAAATATGCTAGAGAGCTTTCAGTCTTTCTCCATTTTATGGAACATTGCATATATGGAAATTTGAATCTGATTTTAAAAATATATAGAGACTAAGTCACATTTTTTATTCCTCATGAATAAGCTTTAATAGTGTATACCTTTTCTAGACTACTGTTTCTAGACATCTTTTTCATTCTCTATATAATCATTTAAGGTTTGTCTATTTATAATGTTGAAAAATATTATTTTTAAAATGTTATCTAAAGCTTCGCATTTGATGTTGATCTTTTATTTTATATTTTACATGTTTTGGCATTTTTGTTTTCTCTAAATTTATGTTTGCTTAATTGCTTTTCTGACTTTTTAGGTTGAATTGTGAACCAATCTTCTTATCCTTTGATGGTACAAACATTTTAATCTATAATTTTTTATACATGTCTATATTTGCATATTAAA